AGGAACACCGTGCCCTGGACGATGTGGTCAAAATATTGAACTTACGGTTCGTTCTCCCGATGACTTTGTGTTGAGTTCTCACCCAATCATACTCTGAAAAAGGGTCAAATTGGACCAGAAATAGTGCGTATCTATGTGAGAGTTTGATTGTATTTTCCGCATCGAGTACTATTGGCTCATTCGCTTCCAAGCCTTCGCCATCTTGAAGAAATATGCGATCACTTCCGCCCAGAGTGGTCTTCACTCGATATATACCCTCTAATATCACCCATCCTCAACCTTTTCAAGCACGGTATGCCATCGTCATCATGTTCCTGTTTCGCTTCTCCCCCCATCTAACCTCCGCAGGCCGTCTCCGGACTGAATATCGTTTCGTTTTCCCAATAGAATTGGTAGAAAGACGTTCTGCTTATGAGGGCATAGAGGCTCTCTTGCAGATTCACCCCTTCGTGGATTCTTCTATGGATGACTTCGAGGTGAGCCGGGCAGGCACCACCATGTGATTCATCATCGTAGTCTGGGAGCGTTTTTTGACCTTATTTTGCTTACATTTCCTTTTTTCTTTCCCTTGGACGTCCAGTACGAGGAGTCTTCCCAAAGCGAGGAGGTACCGACGATGCTCTACGGACAACTCATCCAAGCCAATGAGGACCTTGCACACAGCAAGCAAGTGGCAAGATCCCCGGATTCCGTTCGCGACTTTTGGCTTTGGCGAAATGTCAAGGTATCTAATTTCACTGAATCGGATGAAGAATATGTCGATGTTCGGAATTTGGATGAAGACCAACTCGCTACTTTCTCGCTCCCTGAGGCAGGTGCGTTCACTCGCTTCGTCGTTATATGAGACTTTAATCCAATTCATTATATAACTGTCTGGGTCAGATCGAGACTATAGGCGATGTGTTCACAATCAACAACAGGCTGTTTGCAAAGTGTGGCACTGGCATATGAACTTCTTACCTGTAGGCTTCGCCTAAATATCTTGCCTTTCTTCGATCCTCTTCTGATACAATATACTCATGCTCCTTATTCCACGTAGGGCTTAGTTGAAAATCATCAGAAACGGATGGAGAGTATCCAACGCGTCCTGCGCTGCTTCGAAAATCAGTATTGGTGAGTAGTTTTCCCGATATAAGGATTAATTTAAATCTTATGGATGCCCATTCTGGT